AAGAGTGATCAGAAGTAATTTTACTGTGTTCATTCAGGAGTAGGTTATTTAAGTAGGAGCTCCCATGACATATAATCTAAGTAGAGAGCTGGAAAACAAGTATGATAGTTGTGAATTCCATTATGTGTTATAGCACCTTTGTCTCCCTGCCCTGACTTGAGACTTAACACACTGCAAAAGCAATCTTGTCATTAATGCTAGAAGCAAATGTCTGCAAAACCAGGATTGCTACCTGCAAGACAAATGCATGTAACAAATGCCTTTTGGAGTGTGAGATAGAAAGGAAACAAGCTGCCCTACATTTTGTTCACACTTTCCAGTGGACTTGTTAAACACTGACACCTCTGTAAAGTGAGAGGTATGCCGTCCCCTGTATCTGCAGCCCATTGCCCATCAGCAAGCATTCCTAATGCACCCCTGCTGCTGTTTTCTGAAGACTTTTTTTTACACTTTCTTTCTTGGCAGGGCAGTCTTACAGTAACTCACTCAGATGCTCCAAGGGGAGCACAAGTTTTGCACATGGTAATAAGTGCACCGATATGCTTCCAAAAAATTTACGGAGGTTGTCTTTCACACAAGAAAAACAAGCGGCCTGGCCCCAGCTAGTGCCATCCCTTCCCTGTAATTTCGTGTTGAAAGCTAGAGCCTTACTGCCAAGTGCTCTTCTCATCATCATTCCAGACTGGCAGCGTTCATGAGACTTGGCAGGAGATAGCATTTGATAAGAATCCTTCTCTGGGAGCTTCAGAGAGGGCACTGTCATTCATTTCACTCCCCTGCCAGTTCACAAGCATGCAGCCAGCAGTGTGAGTGCAGGAGGAACTGCATTCCTTTCAGGCTCATGTAACTCGGAAGCAGCTCCTATCATTTTCTTCAGCCACCTCTGAGCCAACAGCAAGCATAACACACTTCAGCCCCAAAGGAATGGTTTTAAGAAAAGTTATAAGCAGACGAAAATACAGGGTATGAATTGAACAGCCACTTCAACCTGCTGCCAAGCTATAATTAGTACTTAAGCTCACACTCTTGCACACATATACGTGCAGCAGAGCTTAATAGATTCCCTCATTAATGTTGAGATTCATGTGCTTGTGCTCTATGTCTGGGAAAGCTTTACACCCACATGAATTTTGATGTGGAGCTGAAACAAAAATGTTGATGCTGGCAATGCCAACTATACAGAGTAAATAGCTGGGTCCAGTCCTGCCAATGCTGACTTGAATGGGGCTTCTCACCCAAAGGAAAACCTACGTGTGAAAGTATTCTCAGGTCCAAACCTGTGCAGCAAAAGTAAATCATGGTTCTCTTCCTCAGCTGAATAAAACCATTTATGCCAATGAGTTGATTTCAAGCCTTGCAGAGGTAGGTTGCACTGCCTGGTCTTGATGTGAGATCGGAATCTTGCTCTGTAGTGAGTGAGGCTATCAGTGTTTGGCTCTGTGCTTCAGAGGTCAGTGACTGCATTTACACGTGGACAGGCATCATGCTGATTAAATCAAACTGCTGTACTGAGGAGGACATTAACTAAATGCCTCCCGATGTCCCGATGGTGTATAAGCTATTCTGAATCATAAAATCAATACAGGATTTGTCCTAAGTCACTCCAGCACACATTCGTACATAAATGAAAGTGCTTTTCATTCAGAGAAGTGAAGGAAATGCAAAAAAGAAGAAATATCTTCGTATTTAAGCTGCTTTCTTTTTCATGATCTGAGAAACAAAGAATTAGAAGTAATATAGGAGTGACTGTTCTTGCCTTCTGTGTCATATTATGTTTCCTAGTTTTATTTCTCAGGTCCCAAAAAGCAATGTTTTCTGAGCAGCAGCAGTGCAGGTCTGCCTTGATAACGTGCTTCAGCCATGACCCCTGTCTAGAAGTAATCGGATTATATGTTCTGCTTGTTTCCTTCACTGAGGCCAGGGACAGATGCAGGGCAGATGTGAATGAATAACAGAAACATAGAATCGTAGAACCATTTAGGTTGGAAAAGATCTTCAAGCTCACCAAGACCAACCATCCACCAGACCTACTGAGAAATCATCACCGTATCCCTTAGAGCTGTGTCCACTTGTCTCTTAAATACCTACAGGGATGAAGTCTCCACCACTGCCCTGGGCAGCCCCTTACTATGCCTGACCACCCTCTCCATGAAGAAATTCTTCCTGAAGTCCAGTTTGAACCTGTCCTGGTATAACTTGAGGTCCTTTCCTCATATCCTATCCCTTGTCATCTGAGAGAAAAGACCAACTGACCTTCAGAGCAACCTTCTTTCAGGAAGTTGTAGAGAGCAATGAGGTGTCCCCTCAGCCTTCTCTTCTCCAGACTGAACAGCCCAAGTTCCCTAAGCCACTCCTTGTGGCTCTTGTTTTCTAGTTCCTTCACCAGCTTCACTGCTCTTCCCTACACATACTTGAGAAACTCCACGTCCTCTTTGTAGTGAGGGGCCCAAATCTGAACACAACACTCAAGCTGCAGTCTCACCAGTCCTACATACATGGGGACACGCTTTACCTGATGCAGGCCAGGATGCCATCAGCCTTCGTGGCAGATGGTGGGGACACAGCACTTCCTACACAATCCTATGAAGGCACACACCTTTCTGCCAACTCACGGGCCTCAGGAGGATGCTACAATGGAGAAAGAAAAATCGAGGGAACACATACTTGTAGCTTTGCTTTATGTTGTGAATATTCTCACAGCTCGCAGAAGGGTCTGAGGTACCAGAAAATAGAGAAGGTGGTATTCTGGGAACAAGTGAGTTGCCAGCTTTACAGCACAGAAATGGGAGAGGGGCTCCAGTAAGGCTAAAATTCCCTTGGTAATCAGCTGGTAAATCCATATCAGTTTAAGGCCAAGAGAGAATATGGCAACAAACTTAAGTGACTTCAGATCAGAAGATGCCTACTGTGTTGGAAATTGTGTGATATGAATCTCTGCACCGGCAATGGGCTGCAGGCCAGCAAAGTCAGCTCCCGTGGATCACAAAATCTTGGGAATCTTTGCTGGTTATTTTTACCTGAAAGCAGGAGCAAAGAGTGGCAGAGGATCTTAACTCATTATAGATGAATCCATCTATCCAGTTTTTCTTTGGACCTCTTTTTCTGTGTTTTTCTGGTAATCAATTCAGCCCTCCCTTGTCTTTTCATACAGTGTCCCTTTTCATTGGAAAGCCAGACATATTGGCAGTGCTTGCTACTGTAGGAATAAAGAAGGAATAAATGATCCAAAAGAAAGGCTCATAGTCTCTGAGATTGCCCTGGGATACACACAAGTTGAACACTAACCCTGCATGTGTCGGTGTTCATTCTTAACATTCTCCAAGAGCCTGTTCACTGTTAAAGACTTCAGGCATTGCAACAGCAGCTGAGACTGGGAAGAGCTACAAAAGCAATGCTGATGAGCACTTTGTGCACCTGTGGTTTTCAGCCCTTGCAATCCGAAAGAACAGCGAAAGATAAAGAGCAGAAATGATTATCAGATGCATCGAACTGATTCGCATTACATAACCCAGTTGGAGGAAATAGGGAAAAATAAGTGGTTTTATGCAACGTTTTGTTGACCTGAAAGATCAGATGCCTGAAAGAACATTTAACTAAGAACAGCTGTAAAGAAAACAGAGCAATGTAGGCAGGTGAAACCACAAATCAAAGACTTTGCAGATCCTTATTTCATCGCACTCAGTTAAGTTTTCAGATGCCAGATTCTGTTCCTATTGAATCTATGGCAAAATGCCTGCTGACTTCAAACAGAATAGGTTTTGTCCCTGTAAGCTAAGAGCATGGCCAGCAATACCAATGCAGTGTAAGAATAAACTGTGTAGGTGAGAGGTAAGGAGTTGGTACTGCAAAGTTAGTGCCTGCCAGATCCTGATTCTTTTATTTTCCAATTAAGAAAAAGAAAACCATTTCACACTTGGAGCATTGTACCACTCATATTTGAAGGTCTGGAATACTTCAAAGCCTGATGGCTGTAGTGCTCAATGCTAATAAACTCTATTTAGTAAGTATTACTTAAAAATAAAGTGGAAATATCAGGGGAAAAAAAATCATAACAGATCGTTCTTGTACTGTTTTGTCCAGAAAAGGTTTTTAAGCTTTGCTGTTGCTATTCATTTACCTTCTCCTCTGTTGCACTGCATTCTGTTTACAGCAATTTATGCGAATCTATATTCTTAAGCCTTATCCTGAAGCTGGATGTGGTCTTTGTAACTGTTTGGCATCTCTTAGCATTATGGTAAGAATCCGGGTGTGAGTGCGTGGAGTGATGTGAAAGTGAATCGACAGAAAACAAACCGCAAAACTTTTTGCACAATTTACCAGTTTTGCATTAAGACAAGTTCAGTTGCCAGCAGTGTATCTGTAGTATTTTGAAATTAGTTAAAAATAGGACTGCTGTATTCTTTAATTAGCATAGCTGAAAGTTAGCCAAATCGGCTTCGGATGCAGCAGGAGACGTACAGTTTGTCCTGATTTTGTGGGGAAAGGAAAAATGTAATACTTGGCAGATGAACTAACTGTGCTAACCCAAAACGTTATTAGAACATAGTCGACTCAATCAAATATGTTGGTTTACCAAAGATTAGTCCACATATTTTAACAGAACAGAGCAGCACAGTTTCAAAGCTACTGAAAGAAACAAGACCAAGAGAAAGTGGTTATTTTCATGATATGAAAATCTGGAGGAAAATGACTTATATATTGAGATCAGTAAGCAACTTTTGCCAAATCCTGGCCTTCTTACTGACACAGAGTAACATCAGCTGCTGTGAATAGCTCTGTTGCTGTGGGAATCCCATCTCCTATTGCAGAATGCAATCACAAAGTATTTCAACTCAAATGAACAATTTCAAATGTTTAGATTTTAAAAACCACCGCTTTTAATTTCTGTGTACCCAGTTGTATTGGATGGGTTTCCGTGAGGTTAGATTTATAATATTAACACAGGATAAACTATTAAACAGGAACAAATGTCAACTGAGTAAACATTTATTAGTGCTTATAATGTCTAGCCTAGATGTAGTCTCTGCCTTTGCATGATGGAACTTCAGAGTCTTAGTGAACAACTGCTTTCTTGTGCAAATTGAAGGGTAGAGTTCCGAGGGATGCAAAGCTTTTGCAACTTGTGTCATTCTCAAACTGACGTCTAGAAATGGAGATACACCCAAGAGTCATGAAAATGTATGAAGGATTCTCCAGAGTCCAATAAGAACATCCTTGAAAATAAATAAGTCCAATAAGAAAATCCTGGCTTCAAAGCAGTCCTGGCATAAAAAGGTAAAATTGATTATCCCTGAAGCAGTAGGGTCTGAATACAGAGAAATTCACCTTTAGAACAGAGCACTGTTACCCTCCCTGTGGTTCACAGCTTTAACTTGCAATCTGAATTCCTGTCATGAAGGTTATGCAAGAAATTAGTGCACGTGGCAGATACTCTCGTCATTCACTTCTCCACAGACAGCTCAACTTAGTTTGGAAGGAACATGGGCCTCTATAGCGGAGGAAAATGCTCGGACAGCCAGCTAAGGAGTTTACTATTTACTGATCTTTTCTGCTTTTGAAAATGCTTACTACTTTTTCTTTTTTTTTTTCAAGAATACAGTGGTAAAGATTTGCCTCATTCCCAGATGTGTCATTTCAGAGTTTTAGAAGAAACTGTTACCTGAAGAACTTTTCCAGATTGCATCACAGGGAAATATCTTTCAGTGCTTCTCTAATCCAGATCATCTCATTTCCTCGAAAGGACAGCTCATCATCTCACAGGGCTGACTTTTCTCTGCACAGATGCTTTGCCTCTAACAGAAACTGCAGTAAAGCACGAGCACTTCTAGGGAATAATTCCCCAAATCATCTTCCATGAGGTTGTAGCTGTCCTGAGTGATCGTGGCTGTGAACCAGGCTGGGGAGAACCTGCAGTCAGAAACAAGTTAGACCACATCATACTCATGTATTAGCTTCCACACTTTAAGACTTGGGTGTTTATAGACATGACACTGTCTTCAAGATGTATCTGAGACTCAGTGGGTCAAGGTTGCTGCAGCCCATTTTGTAGACAAGAAACACCGAAGTGGGAGGCACAAAGACAGGAAAGGCCCTGAAGATGTGAGATGGGAAGCAGAAATCCTGCCTTTCCTCAAGGCAGAGCTATTGGTGCTGTTTGCAACTCAGCCTGCTGAGCTGTGGCCTCCTTAGGTGACAAACATTTGCAAGGCACCTTTCTTCAAAGATTCCTTTCTGCTCCCATTGGTGAGAGGAGGTAGGATGGTTTGTCACTCCACAGGTTCTCTATCACCTCTCCCCAATACATACTCTCAACACATGCAGAATGCATCCAGGTTCCTTGGCAGACAGAAGGAGATGCAGGAGCATTTGTCCCCTTAGAGACTTAGTAAACATCTCATGGGTAAATGGAGAGTAGCTGAAAACACAGATCTATTTCCAGTACTCTGAAAAACCTCTGGCCAGCACTGTCTCTTAAAGAAACAGAGTGGAAGAATGTAAACATGTGTTTGGCCAGTAAATGAGTCGTTATGTAAATGTTAATTATGAAAAGGATTTCCCATGAGTGTAGGGCTTTCAACACGACTTTGATCTCATGCAGGACTCAAGTCTCAGGAGTCACATGCTCTGCCTTAGAACTGTGCTGACACTTCTCCCAGCCTCAAGAAACTGCAAGGACATTTGCTGTAGCACGGGAACAGAAGAAGCTTTGATGATTGAAAATGAAGCTTGCACAGCATCATGCCGAAGCAAGCCTCTGTTTAATTAAAATGTTCCATTGGTTGGAACATGTGAGCTTCTTACTGTGATCTCTTTGTGGCCAATACATTAAAAAAATCAGAAAAAAACCTCCTGTCTTGAGCCACACAAACTCTCACCTGTTCTCCATAATAAATGTTGACCAGCCATAAAATCCATCTCTCAGCCAGCTCTTTACTTCTCATCAGGTTTAAATGCATTTCTTTGCTCTTCCCTCACCTTCTGCACCATCCTGAAGGCTTTTGTTTCACTTTGCAAGGCCGACACAATTCAGGTTACACCTACAGAGCACACCGAGCAGCCTGCTAAGCAGGTAAGGTGTAACAATGAGATGGATTGCTGAGCTAGAATACTCATTGTTGTTTACGGCAACCCAGCTACTATGATGTGAATATGCCCTTAGGTCTTGTCTGTCTCTGTCCTTCCATCTCGTTCTTGCTTCCTGTGCCCTTCTTTTCCCTCCTTCTCCCCTGCTTGCCTTCCAACCAAAAACCTTCCTTCCAAAACTGTTTGCCCCTCAGTTGCCTTGTTCTCCTAATCCTGATCTATGCTCTGCTGCTCTCCTCCTGAGATGCATGCTTTTTTTCAGGTAAGTTCCACTAAAAGCTGCTTTTCCCTGAATGAACAGCAAACAATTTTACTGAAAAAAAAGAAGAAAAAAAATAATGCAATACATTTGGCATAGCACAGGCTGAGCAGCCCTGTCCTGTCATCTGCTTGTCAAATCTTATCCATCCTTCTTCCACCATCCTACACAGTCCCATCAGAACCCTGGTGTGATACCATGTTCACAAATCCACTCCTGCTGAGCTCTTTGCTGTTTGATCAGAGCCAGGGAGTTGGGTCTTTAATGACATATGTGATAGCACCCTGTCCATCCCAGACCCTGACTGATGAATCAGATTTGAAAAAAACTATCAGTGAGTAGGCTAAGAAGTAATGTTGTTGTTATGGGCAAGAGGTTCTGTTTGTTTTCAGCTTTTCTGAGCTGTGAGGATCTGCTTCTCGTTCTCTTTTTCCACCACAGCAAGGAGGGGTTCAAGCTAACTTGACCTTTCCAAAAGGATGCTGAGGTTCTCTCATGGATAACATGTTTACCACAAGAATCACGAAGACTGGGGACAACCTTAGGCTCCCTTCACTGTGAATAGTTCCATTTAGCAAAGGAATGACTCACCGTGTCCAAGTGAAGCCTGCCCTGGGATGAAGAAATCAGCGGGACCAGCCTGTCAGCATTGCCAGTAGTTGAAGCAGACGCCGTGACATTCCTTGCTCCCACTACAGCCACCCCTGCCTCGTGCCACTGCCCTTGTGCTTCTGGGTGATGAATCAGACCGAGGAACTTATCTCACCAAAACATACCACCAGGGTTAGTTTTTCAGTCGGATCTGCCAACACAGAGGTGATGAGAGGGTAAGAACGTGCAGGCAAGGATGGGAATTCAGGGATGCTAAAACGCTGCAGGCAGCCTTCAGTAGTTTGCTCACTGAATAGTGAGCCATGCTTTGAGACTGAAGCCTTCCGCCTGCCTTACTTGCTAAACTCTTATTACATGTGGTGCTCTATAAATAACATCTTTTGAAACTATTGCGAGGCTATTTTAAAAGAGAAATGGGATTACTGAATTTCCACTGAGATTTCTCTTCCAGCCCTCCTCCCGTCCCAATCCCTTGTGGCTGACTGTCTCATTTATGTATTTAACAAATGGGAAGCAGAATGCTCCGCTGCTTTTCTCTCCTTTCTTAAAAAATAATTAAAAAATGATGACAATTCAATTCTGCAATGTGACAAAGCAAGGCAATGGGACCTCTGCTCAGGCCAGAATTTCATTTGAGACTCTTGAGGTTTTCAAATAGAAAGAGTGGAAGCATTTAAAAAAACCCCACGGACTTCTTAAGCAATCTTTTAAGTGGGGGACTGTTTTATCTATCAGAATTTCTGGCAGTATTCAAAGGGGATGTATAGGAGTCCTGTACTTGCATCCGAGTCACAAAGTAAATGCAAGCTCTGACTTTGTTAAGATAGTAGTGTTGAAAATAGCATTTTAATGCCAAGCAATAAAATGTGGGTTACAATTCTAAAGACGACAGAACATGAGCCATATTTATTTGGAGTAGAAATCTGTCCCTGAAGGAGGAAATCACGGTTCGTTGAAAATATTGATCCTGAAATGGAGAAAATCAACAGTCTCAGAGGAGCAGCTTTTCCAAGCACGTGATTCTGTGAGTCCACTGATACCCAGAGAAAGGCAATGGATTATGCATCCTTGAGCCACAGCCTCTCACCCGGTTGCCTTTTCTTCTAGTGTTGCAGTAACGTGGACCAAAGGGGCGTCAAAGCCTGAATTTTATTTAATATTCACCCACAAACTTTTGGAACAGGTGAGCATGATTTCATACAAGTGCAGAATCACAGAATCGTTAAGGTTGGAAAATATCACTAAGATCAGCTAGTTCAACCACCATTTCTTGATGTCTTCAACACCCAGGAATGAAGAATGGCTGAGAATAATAAATCTCAAAGTCCTCCTTTAGACACAGTGGAGTGAAGGAGAGAAAATTATGACAACACAGCATTTACGCGGTCAAAGTGCTACAGCTGTAATAACAGCCCCAATACCCTCGTAAAGTTAAGGAGTAAACATCATTATCTTTATACAGAAGCTTGCCTAAGGTGATACGTTGTGGAATTTATTTTAACTAAGATCAAACTCCTCCTTTCCTCTCCAGAAACGAATAAGCAGTTGCAAAGCAAGCCTGTAGCAGAAGTAAGAACATACCCTAGGACTTGCTGGGTTTCAAGCCCACGTCACCTCACAGCCTTCACAATGTCCTGTACCAGAGGTAGCTGGAAGCTATATGGAAAGCTGTTGCTTTTGTTTGTTTTCTTTTTGCTGTTGCTGCAGACTAGACCAGTTGTCTGGAATTTGGCTCCTGCAAAATGTCCTTCACTTGTCTTGTTCCTGAGGTGATCCTTGTTTCCACCTGTGATGATAAACCACAGGTTAAAGCAAGCAAGTTTTCTCTTGAACGTCAAGCAGTTCTTATTATACAATTTGTTATCAGATCAAAGCAAACATGACCTTAGCCCTCTGACAGTGCATCATATAGCCATACCTGTCACAAGGAAAAGGAGGGAAAGAGAGGAAAATACACACCTTGCTTTGCTGTCCAGATGTGACCACGTATTTTTAAAACCTAATTACAGAACAGATTAAGCTCTTTGGCTTTCAGACTGATTGGGTGCCTCACCTCCTCAGTCTATTTCTGGCTGCTGGAAATATTGCTGTTGTAACAGGAAAGCAATCGAGCAACAGTGTGTTGATACAAAAATGTGAGGACAGATGGAAGCCATGCCTATTTCTGAAGCTTCTTGCTCAGCAGATCAATACAAGTCTGCACTGACTCTGGACCTGAGCAGCTAATCCTTGCTAAGTGGAGGTGATTTCACAAATAAGGGATGTCCTTTCATTGAATTGCCCCTTTCTGTGCATTGTGAGACGGGGACAGACCAGAGCCCAAACCCATCACCTGTAGAAAGCTTTTGCCAGGAAAAGGGGATACTTTGGCAAACTGGTAGCTCTGCTACTGATACTTATAATTCTTTTTACTTTGCATTAAAGCTCGGCTTCTGACATTGGCTACTTATGTGAGAAATCCAACTTTCATTTATTTCTTCAGAAGGTTTTCAATGTTCAGGTTTGCAAATAAAGGACTTACCGAGTCAGGACCCTGAAGGTAGAAGGCAGGGGGAACCCCTCACCACAACTGCTACTTGTAGGAAATGTCGAGCATTTAAGCAAATTTCATGGTAATGAAACCTGAGTCATGATGTTTTAAGATCTGGGCCACTGATAGTGCCTCTTTTAATGCCCTTTGCATAGTCCCACAGACTCACTCACAGCTGCCTGCAGACCCGATGCACTGTTTGTGCTGTGTAATAGCAGCATAGCAGGTTTCCTGCTCCCTGCCTGTGTGCCAAAAGTCATGTCAGCCAGGCACTGCTTGCACCACAGCTACTTATTTTCCTTCTGAGGAAAGGAAGAACCTTACTTCAATGTGAATGGCACTTTCCACAGCTGGTGACTTTCCTGTTTTCCTCAATATAACATTTTTATCAGTGCTAGAAGTGAGCTCAGAACACAGCCCTGCTGCTCTTAGAACAGCTCTTACCATAAGATTAAGGCTCAGCATCACATTCCCTCTGAGGGTGATCCCTTTTTCCTATTCTGCTCAAACTTTTCATTATAACATTCCAAGCCATTACAGAATGCTTTACACACATTAACTAATCTCACACAGCGCCCCTCAGAGGCGTGCAAATGCAAGTTGGTCCTTGGGTTGGATATTAGAAGGAATTTATTCTCTGTAAGAGTGGTCAAGCATTGGAATAGGCTGCCCAGGGAAGTGGGGAGAGTCACTGTTCCTGGAGATGTACGACAACTGTGTAGACATGGCACTGAGGGACATGGTTATTGGGCATGGTGGAGGTGGGCTGATGGTTGTCTAGATGATCTTAGTGATCTTTTCCCACCTTAATGATTCTATAATTCTGTGAAATGCCTGTTGTTAGCCTTTTTTTTTTAATTGGTGGGCAACCCAAGGCACAGAGATAAAGAGTGATAGACTCATCTTTGTTTCTCTTCTTGTGAATGAGCCAAATTTATCAAACTGTGGGAGAGAAATTGGGATGTGGGGGAACATCTGGGACAAGGTCCTTCTGTTGCTTCAGGTGTTGAAGCAGCTCTGCTGCAGCCTTTGGAGGACAAGTCTCTGTGAGGTCCTGGAGGAAGTGAAAGAAACCAAGAGAGAGTTTTGTGACAGTATGATTTTTCCATCAGTCTGAGTGCATAACACTGCTTCGTGAAGGTTGTTGCTGGTCACTGCAGAAACAGGAGCCAGTCAGTAAATGACACAGAGTTTATAAGGAGCCTCTATTTACAGAAGCACTGAGGTGACCATGAGAAGGGAGAGGACCTCTTGTAAGCTTCACTGGGTTGAAGTGCACCTTGAGATGAGGAGCTCCTGGTGAAGGAGTGGGGAGCAAACACCTTGAACAGCAGATCTACAGAAGGTTTGCTGCGAGCCCTCCCTGCTCTCACTGCAGCTGAAGTGTTCCTGGCTCCCAGAGGGAAAGGCCAATCCATTAAGAAACAGAAAATTATGCTGATTAAATCAAGCAGAATTTGGAATGCATTTGTGAATGCTGACTCTCACGGAACAAGATCTGTAATCTAAGTACAGGAGGCCAAAACAGGGCCTCTAACTTAATAGAAAGAATATACCCTCTCAGGCGAATGTCACAGTGATAGATAGGTATCTGCCCCTTTCCCCAAGGACAAGGCATTTCTCATGGGATCTGCATAGGCTTCCTCTAGAGAATTATGAATTCTGTGTTAGATAAGAAACTCCAATACTTAAAATTATTCAGCTGAGTCTCCAAAACAGCTGGCACCTAGAAAAAACCTGTGGTTCTTGTAGTTAAATTTATGTCACAAACCAGCCTTCCTCCATCCAGCTGTTTCTCTCAGTAATGACTCTGATTTCCAAAAAAGAAAGAAGATACCTCTATCCATCATGTGTTTAAGACTCAGTTCACCTACAGCTGTCATTCCACGGGAGCAGAGAGAAATATGTGATTCTTCTGAACTCTAGGACATTCTGTAATTTTGTTTGGGGTTTAGAGAATAAGGTGATTGATGTCTTCTAAACATCTCTGAGAAGATAGATAGGTGTTCCCTCCTTGACCTACCATTTTCTTTCAAGGTCTTTCTGTCTGTTTATTGTCTTATCTTCTTTCCCACGTTAACAGTGAGCTCAAGGGCTAAGGCCTACTGGTGTATACAGCACTGACAGTTTTGTGACCATGACCACTGACTTCTCAGCGCAACCAAAACTCTAATGATAACAGTGCCACTCTCCATAGAAAGCACACACAAAGAGAATCCAGTCATCATTCTAGCATCCCAGTGCCTCCACTTCCTCTATCCAGAGGAATAATCTGACAAGATGCTATGGCCTGAGACAGAGATCTTGCCTTGCCTGGCCCCTCCCTTCCCCCTCCCTATTGTATATTCCATCTAACCCCTTTGACCACTGTGAGCATAAACTGGAAAAGCTCTCCCTCAAGCAGTGGATAAAGCTATGTTCACAGAGGCTTCCGAATTGTTTCCTGATACATGCTTTTTTTGCAAGATGAAGCCTAGCACACATGGATGCCAAGTTTGCCAGGCAGTATTCCCTCTATCAGCTCCCTCAGAATCTCTTCCTAAGGCTGCATGTTTGCCCTCACTTTTTATTCACGCTCATTCCAATGAAGTACATACAACATTGACCACAACAGGTCCTGCTCGTTTACCTCCTTCAGAACTTGGCTGGGCTAACAGTTGGAGGAAACTTGGCCAGGACTAGATAGGATGGGAAGTAATTGCTGGATGTTGCAGCAGGGAAGGTTCAGGTTGGATATTGGGAAAAACTTCTCAGGAAGAGAGGCGAGGTATTGGTTCAGGCTGCCCAGGGAGGTGTTGGTGTCATTGTCCCTGCAGGTTTTCAGGAAAAGAGGAGATACTGCATTGTGTGACGTGGTTTAGTGGTATGGTGGTGATGAGTTGATGGCCTGCAGTCATTTAGTTTCTCCTTTTCTCCTCTATCTTACTTTCCTTCTCCTTTCTCCATTTCTTAGGGAGGGCTCTCAAGGGCCCATCATTGTGGTGGGCGAGACTTAACACCATTTAAACATCCATTCAAACAAAAGCCCCCAACTGAAAATCACTGAATTCTGCTGTTACATTTTATATTCTCCTTCAATCACTGTTGGAAACCTCTCTACTGACTAATCATAGAATCAATTGAAATGGAATGGACTCTGGAAAGTCCAACTCCTGTGCAGTGAACAAGGACAGCTACAGCTCCATCGGGTTGCTCAGAGCTCCATACAGACTGACTAAAGAGCCCATGGGTACAGGAAAGCAGATCATATTCTGCAATCATAAACTGGGATCTAGCCAAGTACAAAAGAAACTAAACAAAAGCCACATCCAGGCCTTTGAAAGTAGAACTATGTGAAATATTTGCTTCTGTTAAAAATACTCCAAACTGCTTCTTGAGTCCAACTTTCTGCAAAATCATTTGCCTCTATGGCCCTTTTCCCCCAGCTTTGGACACAAAATTCTCAGTCTGGATGGCTGCCAACATGGCAAGGTCGCTTTTCCTAGGGCACTCAAAGATGAGATCTGAGCATTATTTGTTGGATTTTGCCGCATGAGGTGAGAAAAATATGATTTTTCTGCTTCTCTATCGGTGTGGCCACTTGCAGAGGTTCAAGTGAACTGTGTTTTCATTGCTTTTCTCAGAAGAGGCTGTGTTATGAGCTAGCTAGAGAAATAAAGCCAATCTGGTTATCTCAGACCACAGGGAACATTATTAAGAAGGCCGTTCCTTTATGGCTAAGGTTTTTCAAAAAATACTGATGATTTGAATGTGCTAACATCTTAATATTGAGTGACCTCCCAGAAATACCTCAGAAAGAGTTATCTGATCTCGGGAAAGCTGCGCTCCTCAGCAGGGAAAATGAGTGCTTCTGAGCTGTCACGATGTAAACTGGTAGTACCAAAATCATGAACAAAGGCCTTTTGACAATCTTGGCAAAGTTAATATTTGCTCTGCAAACTGGCTTGTATTGTGAGAATCAACCTTGTTGATCCTGAATGCTCCTCTGGCGCCTGTTTTATTTGGATGTGGATTTCAACAAGTGTATGAGATCCCACTTGATGTAAGACACAGGAGTGCTACTGGAGAGCTATCTGTGCTGGCTTTAGCCTCTTTTCTAGGTAGGCACAAGTAGAATCTTCCCTCTCCCACTAACTTCCCAGCTCCTCAATAAACCACCATAGAATTAGATGCTCTGCTGCCAGTTCGAGTAGGAAGCATTTAGTGCTGGTGAATAAGAAGTATTTCCCATATGTGTACCTGCTGCCCCTAACTTCTTGTCAAGG